CCTCGCCCTGTGGGGATTATGGGGATTGTAACTCCAGATGAGATTTGGGTGGGGACACCCATATCAGCATCTGATCCTCTTAACGTTCCAGGGGTCTCGTAACATGCCAGGCCTGTCTGCAGCCACGCTGGCCTCTCTGGGTGGGACTTCCTCTCGGAGAGGCAGCGGAGACACCTCCATCTCCATCGACACCGAGGCGTCCATCAGGGAAATCAAGGTGAGATGCTCTCTTCTTCCTCACGACTTGAGAGAACCTTTTGTAAAAATCAGTCTTTAGATTAAAAAAAAAAAAAAACTTAATTCATAAAGTTCTGAATCTTTCTTCTTGGTCCTATCTCCCTCGCCTCCCCTAAAATATGATGTTCTCCTAACATCAAGACCCAGCTCACATAGTGTCTCCTGCAGGAATCGGATCCTACTCACTGACCCCCCCAGCAGGGCGGACTGTGTGCCGGCCCCCTGCGTCCCTCAGCACCCAGGGCATACCTTAGTGAGAGCACTAGGCACGTTGTGTTGATGCACTTGGTCGTCTCTGTGTGCTTCGTCGTCTCTGTGTGCTTGTTGTCTCTGTGTGCTTGGTCTGCGTAGACATTCAGTCCACATGTTTGGACACCAGACGGCTTTACCTACTTTCACACAACCTTCCCCGCTAAGTATGTTCCCCTTCGGCCTAGAACATGCCCTTTCCTTTCTCTTTGTAATATGCCTTTAGTAGACCTCATCTTCGTATTTTAATGATTTCTTCTCTCCCGCTGTAGTACAGGTATTATTCTCTGCTCTATCCTCAGCACCCAGGACAGTGCCAGGCATTTGGTAGCATTCCATGTGTTAGAGAGAAACATGGTACTATTTGTTAAAGTAACTAGGGTCAGTGCATCTGAAAACCTGAAGACTGGAAGGGAAGGTGAGGTGACTAGACCTGTGTCCTCCAGGGAGCAGAACCAAGACAGAAGCAGCTGAAAGGAGCCAGAATTGACTCTGTTTCTGAATTTTCTAGTGCTTTAAACTAAGTTTAAAAGAGAAGCAGCTCCCACTGGGGATGTCTGAGCAGCTGCATGGCCATTTGCCAGGGAGGACAGATAGGGATTTAAGCATCCACCAGAGGTTGGCCGGGGTCACCTTGAAGGTGCTTCCAACACCTATGTTTTATAAGTTTACAAAACCAGAAGAGCCGTTTCCCATGTGCCACCCCTGGGCCACCTGCAGCTCCTCATTGCTTTCCATTTTTTTCCTTTTTCTTTTCTTTTCTTTTTCTTTTTTTTTTTTT